AAAAAAAATCATTTTTACATAATTGTAAATTATACAGTTAATTACTGTAATATCAATAAGTTCGACGATGTATACTGGTAGAAGCATAGCAAGAAACAAACAAAGACTGTTTCGAGAAATAGCAATATAGGCATTATGTGACAGGTGATGCAAGCATAGAAGTTGATTTCGCCGAAAATCGCAGCAGCACTTTACTTCGTCGTGACAGAGTGAAGAACGACAAAATTCTCAGAAAAAAAAGAGTAGGTGTGTTTGATTATTTTTAACGTTCTTTACAATTTTTGACGAAGAGATGAGTTTATTAGAGATAAAACCATTACCACTTGAGAACATCAACATCACTTTCAAAAACAGTAAGAAACGCATCAATACAATATTGAATTTGAGCTAAACTTACTATACAGTTTTTCAAATACAATGGCTACAAATAGAAAACTTCCTCGTCTAGCAGTCAAAAGGTCGGGTAAGTAAAATTTTATATTACTTTATGCATTGTATGATGTCATAAAATAGTGTCAGGCTCTCTGATAAAAGAGAAACATACCGATGATCAAGATCTTGGATATGCCAAAGATTTAGCAGATGACGATCATTTTTTAGCACCAAATGAAATACATTTTAACGCAATCGGACTACTTTTCTGTTTGACTACTAAACGCTTGATTAGCATTTCTTTTTCAAGTTTATATCATCGAAGGTATTCAATATAGTGTCTGTATATTCTGATTGCATAAAAGTATATTATTTCAGTCAAATAAGTAGTTGGATAGATGTATTCATCCATGAACGACGACGTTTGAAACCAAATATTAATTCAATTGAGAAATGCTTTATGCTCAATCGGCTGATTGCTGAATGCGTGAAGGTATAGTATACAAACGTTCATTCTTAAAAGAGTTGAAAGACTTTTGAGAATAACATAGGCTAGCTGAGAATCAAGCTATTCATGTTAAAATAGAGAAAGTACTTATGTACATACTGATAATTTCATTTACTCTGTATTTATATAACTATCATAATAATGGTAATGCAAATACCTCCGTTTCTGGCAATTTTGAAATACATCATCCGAGCTTGGTCGATCTAAAGTCAACATTCTTCATTTGAATTCATCTAACAAAGTCTTAAGTAAAGAGACTTTGTTAGATAAAAGCAGCCAAACAATATTAATAATTCACATATGTAACTCTACAATTTCGTAAAACTCTATGTAAAATTCTTCATATTAGGGAAAGAATAAGAAAAAACGTATCTTCCAATTCATATTGAGATTTTTATTAAAATCCAATTATATTCTTGATATTCCTTGCGGAGATAATAAAATCCTTTCATTCTTGTTGAAAAATGGGGTACATATATACTCTGTCTATTTCGAAACACATCATGTGTATCATAACATTTTCTTAATAATTGAAGAATCCAGATGAATTTAATCAACAAGCAACAAAGTTGTACGAAATTATCAAAATGCGCATGTCAAGCAGAGTAACATCATTTTTGGTAATACATGATGAATATGCAAAACCAAAAACTAAATAGTCTATTGTTTTATAGACAGCAGAAAGTTTGTTTGATGAAATAGAAACTTGTCGAAATTTACAATGTCAACGACGATTATTTCATATGTATCATGATGAAAACAAGCAAACACCAACTTTATTAGATCTACAACAAGCGTAAGAATACCTTGTGTTCATATATATATTCTGTTGATAAACCATCAATGCTCTTTCTAGTACAACTAAATTGTATGAACAATTGGTAATGTCATATGAAACTACTAAAAACTATTTACACACTGAAGCACATAATCATCTAAAAAAACTTTTACAAAAGTAAACTACTAATAACAACAATAATAATAATATCCATTCTACATTGAGTATAGTTCTTTCATAATCATCACTCAACCGTCTACTCCAGAATGTGTTGCAGCTGCTAAGTATGAAAAATTTGGAAATATCTATACAGCCAAATTGAATTCGCGCATAGTCAGTCTGTTAGACATCAATAAAATCCAAGCTCATTTTACATTCACAAATATTGGTAAGAAACTGTTCTTTTCATGCAATATCAATTTTTTAAACTATTAACAAGATGTTATACTCAATTTATTGGATCATCAAATTCAAGAAGAAGGTGAAAAGCAAACAGCGATCGAATGGAAAACACGAAGGATTTTCGATGCAAATGGTCAATCAAGATTACTTTACTATGCTGAAGTTGAATCTATCATATTAACGAAATCAGATTCACGAAGTTTGTATTCTCTATATAACTCAAAACTTTGTCAACTACAGTTTCAGCTAAAGATTAGAGTAAATATAAAACTAGAATATGTCCATTTCATAAATACATTTATACTAGATTAAGAATCTAAATATCGAAGAAGATCTGACATTTCATTCGCGACCATTTGGACTCTGTTCACATGCTCAATATTTTCCTGAATATGTTGCCAAAGCAATCATTTATGAAATTGAACAAATACCTCAAATTGTATAAAATACATTTAAGTTTTGGATCTAAAATTTATATATCATTCTAGAATGATCATGTAATTCAACCAAATATTGCGACTGATTTTATTTGTCGCTATCACACGCGTATTGCAGGAATCGAACCAAAACTTCATACGAAACATTTTATTCTTCAACAATTACAATCAGTTTACGGTTTTTATCGTTTCAAATCATGATGTAATCATAATTATTTATTTTCATTTTAGAAGCCAACAAAAATAGAATAAACATCACTTCAATCGGTATCTATGAGGTAAAATCAAGAAAGTTTAGGTTTTTTTCAAATTTCTTTTTTAAAGGAAATATTAGCCAAAATAATAAGTCAAATAGATTTTTTTGTTGATCATCCTTTTCTTTCAATGATGTATCATGACAAGTAATAACAAATTAAAATCTTTTAAATTGCATCTTCGACATTATTTACATATTTATAGTCTATTTCTTGGTATATGTAATAGTACGATTGATAAAGAAATGAATGGTACTCGAGACGAACTTCAAATATTACTACGCTTCAATTCACTTGCAGAACATCAATCAACACAGTCAGCATCTGTTCGATATATTGTGCATAATGGTTTATATCCTTTGTGAAATATTCGTTTTCTTAAAACAAATAGAGATGTTTCATCTTCTAGGTCAATTGACAAGAGCAAGTTTTCATACAAAAGCATTTGTTGATGAAATGTGTCGAATGATTTGCGAATCAAATTCTGAAAAAGCTAAAACATGTCGACTGATATCGGATATACTAAATCGTAGTTTTCATGATTTTAGCTTATACTTTGGTATGTAATATACGAGGATAGATACATGAACAATATTGTCATCATGAATATAGATAATGAATTATTTCGACTTAGTACCGTGGTACCTCCGACAAAGGAAGGTTATAACCCGTTGATACCTGTTCTGTGGTCTACAATGTAACTTGAATTTGTTATTTTTCTCTAGTTCATTTTTTGCGCTCTAGGAGACCAACTAATGATGAGCAATCAAAACAGTTACCCAGTAAGAATTATTTATTTTACAGACAAATCCAAAGTATCATCGTACAATTTTGCTTATTAGGTTCACTATTATCCAATGTTGAATTAGCAACAGTAAGTGACTCACTCCTCACTTTAAGTTTCTCTAGTAATAACTCATACTTTCATCCAGTCAAATAATTCTTCGATAAGTCCAATTCAAAGTAAGATTGATACTATTTTAAATGTTTATTTTCAAATCCATACTTTTGATGCTCAGCTGATCTATCAAATTTAACTGCAACAACTAATTCTTCTATGATGTTCAATAAAAAAATAGTTTTACAAACACATAATTTTATACATTATCTAGCAGAAAAACTTCCCGAGATGTTTATGAAACTTCAGACAGAAAACTCTTCGTCAAATTCTTATTCTACAACCAAAAAATCGGCACTCTCGTCAAGTTCGACCGACGAAATTGTGAAACAAGAAAAACTATTATTATTCAGTTTATTGAATAATTATTTACAAACAATGTCTCAAGTTGAAGCCTCTACGCAAGTAATAGACGAGAAAAAGGATACAAAACCTTATACTTTCTTTTGCTCAACGTTAAAAAATACATAAACAAATTCGCCAAGAAGATCCGCTAAGGTACTGATTGAATCATCAATTTTCTGGATTTATTCTTCAACTTATTATCCATGTTTCTATATAATTTGTTAACTATAACTTTAAGCAAAGCTATGTGCCCATAAACTTGTTTTTTTTCTGATAAAAAATCGTGTTATATCCTACATAATAAAACAAAACGAAAGTAGGAAGAGATTAGTTTGACTATTGTTCTTTCATTGACGCTTGTTGAAAGAGTCGGTAAGTATCTTATCAATATTTACAAATATTTGCTCTTGAATTTGTATGATATAATAAAACAGAAAAGAACATAGATAATTTTTTTAACTCAACACTGCAAATAAAAAGTAAGTCTCCTTGCAAAAATAGTTATCAAGGAAAATATTGCGACGAACAAAAAGCAAAGATAAAATCTAAAGAGTTTTACAACTTTTCCAGAGATAACCTGGCTTCCCATCAACACTTTGTAAAAAAAAGAAGAAAAAAGAGGCTCAGCATTCTTAGACAAAGAGGATTTTTAATAAAAAAAGAAGAGAAAAAGAGGCATACAGTTTTGCCGGAAAAAAACTAAAACTCACTGGCCCAATAGTACAATAAATCCGAGAAAACTCGTACGTTATCAATATAGGTTGAATATGATTTGAAATAGTAAAAAAGAAAAGGAACCTGCAATTTTTCATAGAGATCTTTGTGCAATTGCGTATGTATGCATTAGAAAACGGGAAAACATTAGAAAAATAGACTATTATATTTGCGTAGTATCTGACTATAATATTACTATCTGACTAAATAAACACACAGAAATAGAAACGATCAGAATTCATTAAATAATTTTTGTTCTGCTTTTTGTTCCTTTTCTCGGATGACTGTACATATGAGAAAGATACTTTTTCGTTTTTTTTCAATTTTCAGTAATTCTTCCATGGTTTTGATCATTTTTCGCAAGTCAGTTTCACTTTTCCGTTTCCTAGCGTAAATTAATACATTGATTGCAATGATACCCAGACAGCGGATTTGTGGAAAATTGTTTGACCCCGTACTATCGAAAACGCTTGATTTTTCCCAGTAAAATATGGCCATCTTCCTGTGTTTTGTAGAAAACGACTTATTTGTATAGGGTAGATTGTATGATCCTCTGCTTTTTGGTCAGTGGGGCGCACCTGTTTGTTGCTATCGCATTCCATCATATCCGATTTCTTCCAGTTATCATCAAACCGTTGCCAGTATTAATCCATATCAATCAAACACACTTGTAATCGGAGAAATATGGCGCTCCACATCGCCCAGTATTGCGATCGTATAACTCCGTAATCGTATGTGCAGAAATACGATCGTTTATGGACAAACAAAGTTTGTCTACGGCTTTCGTTTCACCCTGTATTTCGTCGTATAAGATTTTATTTCTCTGTGTACGGTTTAGAGACATACGATAGTCCAAAATGTGATTGTATATGGAGAAACTTGGAGGGAGAGGGATTACTTCAATTGACAATAAATCAATAGCGTAAGGTAATCTAGCAACATACCACGGCATCTGTAATCAACCCAGTAATTTTGAAGGATCAGATATAGCCGGATACAACATGAAAACTTTTATTAGTATCTGATAAGCAGAAAGCTTCAACGTACGACATCATACTATCAGAAGCTATCTTGTCGAAGAAATCCTATCGAATCTGACAGGATTCTAGGATAGATCTAGCCACCCTGGAAACTTCTTCTCATTTTAACGCATGCGTTACGGTACGAGTTAGCTATCCAGTATTAGATTCACATCACCAGCTTCTCTGAAGCTGAGAAAAGTGGTCAAGAAAAGTGAGCCAATATTATCATTTTACATGTTGATCTATACCAGAAAAACTTGCCAAGATTGTGAGAAAATGATGAGTTCACATTGAAAATATAATTGAGTGATTTTCCCTCCACTAGAAAACTATAAAAATTGGGTTCCAATTAGGGATATATAACATCGCTGAAGTTGATCACTAAAATCGTATAATTTAGCCTCCCTAGCTATACATCTCGACTGATCGGCATATCAGTTTGTGTTATGTGATCTTTTCGTATGATATGGTAACATTAATCAATATACTCATGGATGTTTTCGGCAACAAGCTATTTTTTCGTGAGAAAAGAAAAATAGGATGTTTCTGAAAAAAGAGACTAAAAAGAGGAATTTAAAAAAAAAGAGGAAAAGGTAGAAAAATAGACGGAGTTGGATGCCAGGAGGTAACGCTATTACGTTTTTGACATACTTTTTTTCAATTATCTCGAAAGGTTTGAGGACTAGAAAGTTCGTTCAAACACTATGTGACACAGCTCATCACACTCTATTTATGCTGTAAGAATAACCTTTTTTGGCTGTAGTTTTGAACTTCTAGAAAGATTTTATTATCGTGTAACGCTGTTACATAAAAAACCTTTTTTTCTCTAGTGTCACTGATAAAACTCGAATTTCTTGCGAAAATATTTCTCCAAATGAAATGCTTCTGGAGACAATTTTGTAGAACATCAAACGATTTTTAAACGATAAAAAATATTTTCTTTAAACTATTTCTGCTCAGATAAAAAATACAAAGATTAAATGTAACGCTGTTACATAGTTTTTTGTCGATCAATTTTAAGTTACTTAGCGTACTTAGAAATATATAATTTTCATAAATACTGGTCTTTTCTGTATATCTAATCGTTCTAAGAATGCATTCTTCAAACTAATGAACGCTTTCTAGACGATCCAACATCATTCTTGGAAAGAAAAGAACATGTACTCCGTCGTTCTCCAAGTTGCTTTATCCTTTTTCGTTGAATAAAAATCGATTTTCAAAAAAATAGAATGCATTCTCGTTCGTTTCACAAGCTCAATAAAAGTATCCTATTACATCAAGAAAGAATATTGATTAGCTCAAATTACACTGTTCGATTTTCTCAAATTGACAAAGTTTTTCTCATTTTTTCTTAACCACAAAAATAATCGCTATAACTCGTACTCGTCCTTCATGAGCATTTATTGCCGAGCCTGAGACTTTAGTTGTTAATGTCGAGCAGCTCATATTTGTAATATGCTGAGAAAAACAATAAAAGTAAAGTATAAGCCGTATTTCTATATTAAGATCAACAACAACACTATAATAGATGCTGCAATAATTTACAATAGAGAAAGATTGAAATAAAACGAATGAACAAGAACGAATACTGAGTTATACGATGAGAAGCCATATAATCAATATAATTATGTATAGCTGTTATACTATGAATGTTAGTCCATCTTTATGATTCTTTAAAGTAAACAATAAAAATAAATAAATCAATTAAATTTTGCCAAACAAAAAGAAAAACATGAAGTTAAATGAAGGAAAACAAAAATATTCTTTTAATGAGGCAACCTGTAGAGGCACAAGAATTACAAGACAATATGTTTGTGACTTATCTTTAATCAATAGTTATACGATCTCAAAAGCCATTTGTTTTACAAAATATTCTATCAAAAAAACAATTTTCATGTTACTTTTTTCAATCTTCTATTTTTCGTTCCTTTGTGAAAAATAAATTACTTATTTGTCTTTCTTTCTTTCTTTATCCTTGATTGTTAAAAATTAAGGTTTTATTTGCTTTTTTGATCTTAAAAATCAATATTACTTCTATTCTTAAAGATCCACATTGCTTCTATTCATAAAGATCAATATTACTTCTATTCTTAAAAATAAATATTATTTTTTATTTGCTAAAGTAAATATTATTTTTATTTTTACTTAATAAGAACTAAATTAACGCCTTAGTCATAGTCTTCTACCTGCTAGATATAAATCGAAACAAGTAATTAAAATAAAAGATTAGATTAAAATGATATTCCCAGTAGAATTTTTTTACATCTAGTATTTCATTCAATTGATATGATATTTCTAGTCCAAAATAAAATACACAAATTAGTCTAGTGGATAATAGGTTAGTTTTTCTAACAGAGCTGAAATGAAAATAGAAAAAAACGATATAAGATAGAAGAAATAGCTTCTGAGAAGCGTTTTTCTAGAGTTTGAAACGCGCTCTTTATCGTTTTATTCAATACATATTTGTCATAAGGTGATTCATCTACGCAATGACTCAACGATTGACTGCCATATTTGTTAATACTAGTTACTATACGTATGTATTGATTACACTACAGAACAGGTAGTCTTTGATGTTCCGATACAAAATCAATTCATTATTGATACTTTCATTCTTTCATTATTGCATGAAAAAGTATACGTTTTTTGTAGAATTATTTTTTTTTGTCCATATTCAACTATCCTCAAATTCAATGCATTGTTTAAGTGTTGTAAGTTGTCA